CAGATTGAAAATGCATGCACGTACGCAAACACACTTCATCTAAAAAACACTAAGATGTACATCACAAAGGAAATCTGATGGCTGTTTTTCACTTAACCATCTATCATAGCTATCTTGCTGTATCATCAAACTTGGAAGCTATATCATTTTAAATTTTACCTAAAAGGCAAAATATGATATCTTATTTTTTCAATCTGCATTTTTTTTCACATTTATTTTTCAGTTTTACCTATCTTTTGTGAGTGTGGATTTATATTCTTCACATTATACTCTAATGGATTTCACACCTTTTATTACTGATTATAAGAGGTCTTCATATACTAAGAATCATAAAATAATTAGGAGGAATTTTTGTAAATATTTTCATAGATACATTTTGATTATATTTTTATTTTATTCATAATGCCATCCACTACACAGCAATCTGATATTTTTAATTGCCAAAGTTATTAGCATTTTCTTTTATTCTGTCTATATTTACTTATTTATTTTACATCAGTGGGAATTGAACCCAGGGCCTCATGCATGGTAGACAAATGAACTTCCTCCCTCAGCCTTTTTAACATTTTTAAATTTTTTAAATTTTGAGACTGGGTCTCACCAAGTTATCTAGATTAGCCTTGAACCAAAGATTCTCCTGTCTGAGCCTCCGAGTAGCTGGGATTGTTTATGTGCATCAATGAACCTGTCTAATTTTTAAAAATCTTTGATACATATTATGGAAAGCTTTACAATCCAAAGATTGGATAGATGGATGGGTGACAAAATATATAGGCTATTTAATTTCACATGAAACCTTAATGATATATGGTTTGGATGTGAGATGTCCCCCAAAAGCTCACATGTGAGACAATGCAAGAAGGTTCAGAGGAGAAATGATTGGTTATGAGAGTCTTAACCCAATCAGTGAATTAACTGAGTGGTAGCTGAAGTGGTAGGGTGTGGCTAGAGAAGGTGAGAATTGGGGAGTGGTTTTGGAGCATATATATTTGAATCTGGCAAGTGGAGACTTCTCTCTGTGCTTCTGATCATGATGTGAGCTGTTGCCCTCTGCCACACTCTTCCATCATGATGTTCAGCCTCACCTCCAGTCCTGAGGAATGGAGCCAGCCTTCTATCCACTAAGACTTCTGAAATCTTGAGCCCTTAAACAAATTTTTCCTCCTCTCCAATTGTGCTGGTCATGTCTTTGAGTCACAGCAAGGAAAACAAATGCCTTAAATATTAAATTATTACTGCTTCCACAGAGACCTATGTACATAATTTTCTAAAGTGATTAAGCAATAATTTTGTTAACTAACACACTGATGTAAGATAGTATTTTATCATAAATTTCTATCTATACTAAGGTCTTTTGCAGTTCTAAAATATACTTATTGATTGGAGGTTTGATGCCTACTCAGTGTACACTATGTAAAATAAAGGGAAATTGATAATATATTTTATATCTTCCAGGATATGTTTTCTGTGCTCCTTCATTTTAATAATTTTATTATTATTATTATTATTATTAATTATTATTTTTATTACTTTTTTTTGTTTTATTTTTGGTGCCAGTGATTGAACCCAGAGGCACTGAACCACTGAGCCAGATCTATAGCCCCTTTTTAGTTTTTATTTTGAGACAGAATCTTAGGGCTTGCTTAGGGCCTTGCTAGGTTATTGAGACTGACTTTGAACTTGGGATCCTCCTGCCTCAGCCTCTTGGGGTTCAAGAGTGTGCCACCACCCCTGGCCTACTTTATTTTATGTTTTTTTTTTTTTTGTGTGTGTGTGTGTGTGTGTGGTGCTGGGATTGAAACCAGGACCTTGTGCATGTGAGTATATCCTAGCCCTTTATTTTACTTTTAATTAACACAATAAAATGACACATTTATGGGGTTCACTGTGATATTTTATTACACATAAGGGTAATAAGTTTATCTGTCACCTTGAACATTTATCATTTATTTATTTTGGGAACATTCAAAATCCTTTCTTCTGGCTCTTTTGAAATATACAATAAATCATCATTAATGAGAATCACCCTACTGTGCTATAGAGCTCTAGAACTCTATTTTCCTGTATAACTGTATTTTTTGGCCTGTTTACCAACTGTTGTCTATGCCTTTCTCTCCTCACCCCTGATGACCATCATTCTACTCTCTACTTCTGTGAGATCAACTTTTATAGCTTCTATAAGTGAATGATTTGTCTTTCTGCTCCTGACTTATTTCTCCTAAAATGAAGTTATCCAGTTGCATTCATCTTGTGGTAACTGTTAATATTTTATTTACTTATAAATGAAAAACATTCCAATGAATGTATATATATATATATATATATATATATATATATATATATATACCACATTTTCTTTAATCATTTAGTGGTTAAGGGAAATATTGTTTTGTTTTTTCATCTTGGCTATTGTGAAAACTACTGCTATAAGCATGTCATTTTTCCTATTGCAAAACATTTTCCCCCAAATTTTACTTGACTATTTTGGTATATAAAACACAGGAATGTTCAATTATTAACCTTATATCATATAATATTTCTTCAGTGATTAAAGGCTTGATTCAAGTTTTTAAAGTTTTTATGTACACCGCAAATTATCTGTAGATATTGGCTTTTTTTGGTGGGGGGCAGGGGTGGTACTGGGGATTGAGCCCAGGGGCACTTGACCACTGAGCCACATCCCCAGCCCTATTTTGTATTTTATTTAGAGACAGGGTCTCACTGAGTTTCTTAGCACCTTGCTGTTGCTGAGGCTGAACCAGTGGACCTCCTGCCTCAGCCTCTGGAGCTGCTGGGATTACAGGCATGCATCAGCGTGCCTGGGTGTTTTTCTTTTTCTTTTTTAAAAAAATTTCATTGAATTCTTTCAATTGTCCTTTGAGAAAGGCCCCAAAAGTGTTGGAAAGAGCTTTTAAAATCTGCTGTTATCTTTCCAGGTACTTACATTGCAACCATTAATTTTAGATAATTAATTTAACACCTTTAAAATGGAAAATCTTGTGGGTTTATATTCAAGGAATGGATGTGAAGGAGAATTTGGCCTTCCCTACAAACCTGTTTTTGAAAAGGAAAGACTGGTTAGTGGTAATGAATTCCCTCTGCTTTTGCTTATCTAAATATGACATTATTTCTTCTTCATTTCTGAAGGATTGGTATGGTAGGCCTAGTATTCTTGGCCTGCAATTTTTTGCTACTATTTGTTTTTTCTTTCAATACTCTGAGTATATCGCCCTATTATCTCATAGCCTGAAAGTTGTCTGCAGAGAAACTTTTTTAAGTTGAATGGGGATTCCTTTATATGTATGACTTGATTTTTTTCTCTTGCTTTAAGGATTCTATGTTTGACTTCTGACAACTTGTTTATAATGGATTTTGGAGAAGATCTCTTTGTGTCAAGTCCATCTTCTATGAATTTTGTGGGTTTGGATGTTCATATCATTCCTAAGACTTGGGAAGTTTTCACTGATTATCTTATTAAATGTGCTTTTAATGCCTTTTCCATCTCCTTGTCTGTACTGTTTCCATCTGCAAGCATTTGTTTGCTTAATGGTATGACATAGGTTTAATGATTTAAGAGATGGAAATATTTCTTCCCTGATTCAATAATACACATTGTATACCTGAATTACATGACCATACTATAACACATAAAGATATACAAATTTAAAAATTTAAATGGTAAATAAATAAAAGATTCAAGAGGAGAAAAATAGAAATGACTTTCATTTGTTAAAGCTGAAAAAAGAAATCTCAGTCTTTGGCATATGGAAACTAAGTATAAGAGAGGAATCAAGAACCAAATTTGATGCTGATTAAAAAATATTGAAGTGATGATCTTCTTATGCTCTTCCTCTCTATTCTGTTCTTAGTTGCTCTCCTTATATCAAAGATGACATTTGGCATTTGTTTTTTAGGGATTGGCTAGCTTCACTTAGCATAATCTGCTCTAGTGCCATCCATTTCCCTGCAAATTCCATGATTTTGTCAATTTTTTAGTGCAGAGTAATACTCCATTGTGTATAAATGCCACATTTTTTTATCCATTCATCTATTGAAGGGCATCTAGGTTGGTTCCACAGTCTAGCTATTGTTAATTGTGCTGCTATGAACATTGTTTAGTGAAGAAGATCATCACTAAACAGGGATGAGAGGGGGGAGGGAAAGAGAGAGAGAAGGAAAATTGCATGGTAAAGGAAGGAGACCCTCATTGTTATACAAAATTACATATAAGAGGAAGTTAGGGAAAAGGGGAAAAAACAAGAGAGAAATGAATTACAGTAGATGAGGTAGGGAGAGAAGATGGGAGGGGAGGGGAGGGGGGATAGTAGAGGATAGGAAAGGCAGCAGAATACAACATACACTAGTATGGCAGTATGTAAAAATGTGGATGTGTAACCGATGTGAATCTGCAATATGTATATAGGGTAAAAATGGGAGTTCATAATCTGCTTGAATCAAATGTATGAAATACGATATGTCAAGAACTTTGTAATGTTTTGAACAACTAATAAAAAAAAAAGATTGAACCCAGGGTGCTTAACAATAAAGCCGCATCATCAGTCCTTTTTGTATTATATTTAAAGACAGAGTATTGCTGAGTTGCTAAGTGCCTCACTCAGTTGCTCAATACAATATATATAAGACAATATTATATATAATATTGTCTTAGAATTTATGATCCTTTTTTCTTATCCTCCTCAGTCACTGGAACTACAGTTGTCCATCACTAGACTGGGCTCATTTGCTTTTTAAAAGCACCAACATTGATATTGGTAACTCTGTGTTATGTTTATCTTTAATAGCTTCTAATTTTGCTCTTTTGCTTTAGACATTCTTTACTTTTAGTTTTTAAATTTTACTTCTTATTGGGATGGATGATTTGATAATAAATTCTAGTCATTTTATGGCTTACTAAAAAAATATTGAAGTGATTCAGATTTTCTGACATAACTAATGCATTTCTTATCTTGATGCTGTTCTATAAACAGGGACAGACACTCATGGGAGAGGAGAACCAAACCTCTGTGACAGAGTTTATCCTCCTGGGCCTCTCACAGGACCCACACACCCAAGTCCTGCTCTTCCTCCTTTTCCTCATCATCTACCTGCTGACCTTGCTGGGGAACCTGCTGATGGTGGTGCTCATTCACATGGACTCCAGACTCCACACTCCCATGTACTTCTTCCTTAGAAACTTGTCCTTTGCTGATCTCTGTTTCTCTACTACCACTGTGCCCCAGGTGCTTGTCCACTTCCTGGTGAGGAGGAAAACCATTTCCTTTGCTGGGTGCTCAGTGCAGATCATTGTTCTGCTTCTGACTGGGTGTACAGAGTGTGCTCTTCTGGCGGTGATGTCCTATGATCGGTATGTGGCTGTGTGCAAGCCCCTGCACTACTCCACCATCATGACCCACTGGGCATGCGTCAGGCTGGCTGTGGGGTCCTGGGCCAGTGGAGCATTTGTGTCCCTGGTGGACACCACATTCACCTTGCATCTTCCCTACCGAGGAAACAATATCATTAACCACTTTTTCTGTGAGCCTCCTGCCCTCCTGAAGCTGGCCTCAGCAGACACTTACAGCACAGAAATGGCCATCTTTGCCATGGGCGTGGTGATCCTCCTGGCTCCTGTCTCCCTCATCCTGGTCTCCTACTGGAACATCATCTGCACTGTGATCCAGATGCATTCTGGAGAGGGCAGGCTCAAGGTCTTCTCTACCTGTGGCTCCCATCTCATGGTGGTGGGTCTCTTCTATGGTTCAGCAATATTTGCCTACATGAGGCCAAACTCCAAGCTAATGAATGAGAAGGATAAAATGATCTCTGTGTTCTATACAGTGGTGACTCCAATGTTGAACCCCATTATTTATAGCCTGAGAAACAAGGATGTCAAAGGGGCTCTCCGGAGAGTAACTGAAAAATAATGTTTTTGGAGATGGAGATCTTGGATTATGATGACCAGTTCAGTGACTTGGAGAGAAGAGATTTTTCTTGAAAAGTTTTCTGCTTTCTTCCCATTCTTTCACTTTTTTTCTTCTTTTTTCCAATGTCTTCTCAGATCAATTCAATATGTTTCAAAGTAAAATACCTTGGTAGACAGAAAAGAAGTTAAATTAAATCACAGGAAATGAACAAAAGTAAAAGAGAAAAGAAGAAAACAGGGAGATAGGGAAGGGCAAAGAAGAAAAGAAAGAAGGGAGGAAATAATCACTTCTCTTTTAGGCCATATAAGCAAATTGGGAAATTAAAACAAGCAGGCACATAAATGTATGTCARAAAACAAAGACAATAAATCATCACTAATAAGAGTATGTTTCTGGCAATGGAGTAATTTCCTTCATTCTTGCATGATTTTTAACCTGGCTTATATATTCTAGGCACATTGATGGAACTTAGGATACAGACACAAAAATTGTATTATATTCTATGTAGCCTTCAATCCTAAGTTTAACAATTTCTAAAAATGAAAAGAGTATATTTAGGGAATAATGAGTGGTAGGATTTTAAAAAATATTATGTGTAAGGAAAATGCATATAAGGCTGAAAACAAAAAAAAAGGCTAGTTCAATAAATACCTTGAATTTCATACTAAAGAAACTGCCCATCAGGTAATCATAAAAAAAGCTGAAGATTGGAGGATTTAGGAGAACAGTAATAGAAAATTAGAATAAAGTAAGAAAAGGAGGTCTGTCTATCTTACATGTTGGTAGGACAGTTGAACTTAATAGTGTAGCTCAGAGTTTGGATGCAAAACTTAGTTGGTTCCTGAATTGCTTGTTAAAACTAGTATTTCTCAGTATAGAATGAGGAGGAGAAGTTGACCTGAGGAATTTCCATTTAAATCAATCCTCAGGTAATTCTTAGTAATAAAAACAGTGCCCTTTAGAGCAATAAGATGCCTTTAAACACAAAGGAGATGTGCAATTATGAGCTTAAGTCTGAATCCTCTATTAGACTGTGAACACCATGGCAGTAAAGCCTGTGACTGTTTTATTAATGTCTGCGTTACCACTGCAGTAAGTGCCTAGTCACTGCTGTTGCTCCAGAAATAAACTTCTCTATTTCTAGAGTAACTAATAAAGCTGGCACTTAAAATGAAAAATGAGGAGGAGAAGTGAATTTAGATATAAACTTAAATATATGCAAGGAGTGTTTAATGAATATAAGAAAGTGTGCCAAAAGTTGAAAATAGAGAATCAGGTGTCTGGGTGGTTTTATTAAAATGAAGTGACTGGCTTTATAGCATATCATAGAAGTGGTGAAGTATATATAGAAAGACATAAGGATAAGGACATATTCCGTATCCATCATATACTCCATCTGCTTACACACACACACACACACACACACACACACACACACACACACACATATACACATACACTCACACAACATATTATAAAAAATGTAATTGTGCAGTATAATCCCAGATAAGACTTGATGTTTCTGAAAGGCAGAGGGAAAGAATCCAGGACAGAACCTTGAAGTTACCAACAAGTCAAGGAGAAGAAAGAGTCACCACTCAATTCTGACATAGAAAGAGTCAGACACTCAGAATGGGGACCCAAATAAAGATGTGTCAAAAGCAGCAAGAAAAGAGGCCTTTCTAGAAAGATTCTCAAATGCCTCAGACTTTTATGGGTTAACAAAAAGTTATTGAATTTGTCAATGAAGTCATTATTGAACTTGGCAAAAACTACTACAACTGAATAATGGAATCACTTAGTAGTTATAGATTCACAAATGCTACAGAATGCATTACTGAGAAGGTGTTATTTTGTTTTTGTTTTGGGTACTGAAGATTGAACTCAGAGGTGCTTAACCACTCCATCCCCTTTTAAAAATTTTAAGACAGGGTCTCTCTAAGTTGCTTAGGGCCTCATTATATTGCTGAGACTGGCTTTGAACTTTTGATCTTCTTGCTTCAGCCTCCCATGCCAAGGAATTACAGATATGTGCTGCCATGCTTGGCTCCTTTCTACTTTTAAACTTGTCAAGATCAAATTTTAAAATGCCACGAGAAATTTATGGTTATTATATTGAATCTGTAGATTATTCATAAAGTTAACATTTAAGTAATAGTATTAATTATTTTTCATCTAGGAATGGGTATATTCCACTATTTCTCAGGTGAAAATATGAAGATACACACACACACACACACACAATCACAAAATTCCTAATATAGATATTATGCTGAAGTTATTCCCAGATTTTATGTAGAGACAACAATGATACCTGTAATGGTTAATTTGAATTGTCAACTTGATGGATTAAGAGGTGTTAAAAATTGAGAGGCCTCTGGGCAAGTCAATGAGGGTGTGTCTAGGAATGATTGGCATGTGGGGTAGTAAACTGAAGTGGAGATCTGCCCTAAGCATGGGGAGCACCATCCATTAGGCTGGAGGCTTGGGTGGAATAAGTCAGAAGAACACATAAGTAGCAGCTGTTGCAAGCTAGATTCCTAGGACAGGTTCTTGATTGCTGTTGCAACTGCCTGAGGATATCAGACTCTCCATCCTTTACTCTTCCAAAATGGACTCTGCCAGTGATTCTCCAGGGAGTTTCCAGAAGCTTTCAGTCTCAGACTGAGGCAGCATCATTGATCCTTCTTGTTTTGAGGTGTCAGCATCGTGGACTGTGTAGCTATTGGTTCCTCTGGCTCTCCAGCCTGCAGATGGCCATGTGGGCTATCCGGCTTCTGGTTGTGTAAGCCCATCTAATAAATCTCCTTTTTATAATCATACTTCCTGTTGATTCTGTTCATCTAGAGAACACTGACTAATACAGCACCAATACCATAGCCATACTCTTAAGAAGATTTTTAGAAGGGTAGAATAAGAGAGTAATGAAGTAAAACAATGCATAAAAAAGTAAGTTTTGAATAAAAATAAATATGATGATGAAAATAAAACAAGATGCCCGGTAATGTCCTTTGGTTTGGGTGCATGTTGCTTAGAATTAGTAAAGATTGTGGACTAGGTATTTGAATTGTATTTCAAGTACCAGGGAAGGGGAGTACTATTTGAGTTACATGTAAAGAAAAACAAAAGCCTACAATGTTATACTGAAAATTTATTTCTTTAATTTATTCTGGCTTGTATCAAATGGTATCTATGGAGAGTGAGAAAAGTGGTCAGAACTAGGAAAATATTTTAGAAGTACAGCTAACAGGATTACTGTTGTAATAGAAAACAAGTCAAAGAAGTTCAGCTATTTCTTGCATTAAGCACTGGGAAATGGAGTAAATGGTAGTCTTATTTACTGAGATAAGAATCTTGAAGAAAAATTGAAAATAATATTTTGAATATATTTATGTTCAGGTAGAGATTGCTGATAGACATACATGGCTACATCTGGCTGTAGACTGCATACACTGCTACTTCTTTTGGGAAACGTGCCTCCTGAGCTCTCTATTTTCCTTCTCTTTTCATCTGAATAATCCTAATTGGCCCTTAGGTTTTGATTAGGTTGTTTTTTCTGCCTAGAAACCTTGTCCAAACCTCCCTAGACTTTGTTATTCTGTATTTTTTGCATTCTATGGCACCCTTTTCATGATTTTTCCCTTGGGATTTGTTATTTAATTTTCCTTTCACTTTTACATTTCTCCAAAAAGGTAAACTTATTATTTTTCTTTCCATTTATCCAATCTGCCATGTTCTATAAGCTGATTGTTGAAACTACTATTCCTCTTGTTATCTAGAGCTCAATTTCTCAACTCATTTATGATAAAAGTTAGTTTTTGCTACTTTTAAAATTCAATGTGAATCGACACATTGTCCTGCTGCACATGACTAGCATGTAGCTCACATCACAACACAAGCTAGGCAACCACAGAATGGGTCCATTTTCTCATCAACAAGCCCACTGATTATGTACTTCAAAAGCACAGCAGTGCCAATTTGCCATAAATATTTATAAATATTAACTCCAGATTTCTGAACTTTCTTGTCTAAACTGGTACCAACCTGTTCTCAGATCCACAGCAGTTTACCCATCACACTTTGGCACTAATCCAAAACATACCAGACTCCATTCTCCTTGGAATTATCTTCATATCGTTCAATTTTAACTCAAATGAGCATTTTGTTTTTAATTCTCATTTCTGCCTTTTTCTACACTTTCCTATTAGCTGGCCTAAATCAATCAGAGACATTTTCCAATTAATTTTTCCCCCTTTGTGGCATTATTCACACTTCCTTGTGATTGGAATTTTTCAGTACCTACTATGCTGTCAGACACATACCTTATAATCTCTTAGTTTAAGTATTTAAATATTCAGAACAAAGAGAATTATAACTTATTATAATGCTTAAATAGGGGTAATTGCAATACTAAGAATAACAATAACAAGCCTCCAAGTACCATCATTTGCCACATAATGGCATTCCAGTCCATGATGAACTGTAATACATGATGAAGGTCATATCAGTATGTACTGCATAATGATGTCATAGTCACTGTAGTTTGCCTCCTATGCTGTATGTTGCTTCTACAGTGAGAAAATCACTTATAACCCATTGCTCAAATGAACCACTGTCATTATGCTGTTCCTGATGATTTGAATACAGGTAGTTCAGGAAATGTTTGCTAATTGAGAAAATAAGAAAGGGGACTAGAATGTTAGAAAGATACTGAAATGATAAGATTCTTCTTCAGCAAAAATGAAAGTATTAGGTTAAAATTCTCTTAATATAGTGAATATCACAGACTGCTTGGCATTTATCAGAATATCAAGCACACAAATTCTTTGAAGAATTTTTGATTCTGTGAACATAAAAATGACAATTTTCCATTCAATTATAAGTTTTCTAAAATGAAGCTCCTAATGTAAAATTCTGATCAACATCTCTCAAGTCTGCCTGTAGGGTGAATTTGTTACTCTGGAGCATCAGGACCTCTGTAGAATATGATAAAACTCATT